ATGGATTTTATTAGCCTTATTTTTATTTAGGCAGAACAGAAATATATAGAATTATAGAAACTGCTTAAACAAAAAGGAGGTAGGCAGGTTGAAGGGGTATTTTTATATCATGTGTGAGCACCATGTATCATGGCAGTTTTTAACTACTTTGATTTTGTCCACGAAGAAGGCCTAGATGCTCTCTGTATCTGCATAATTTGATAAAATCAGGAATTATGAATTTAGTGATGAATTACTTTAAATGAAACCAAAGCATAAGCTCTCCTTAAAAGAGTAATGGTAGAGCTGGGTAGGATTACCTCTGTAAAATGAATTAGAATGCTAGGAACTGCAATACATCAGTGGTAAGTCTAGCAGGTTTCAGAACTGCAGCTATAGGAGAAATGAGTCTGAATCACTTGAGCATCACAAATCCTAGGCCATATTTTTATTCCTAGCCTTACCCTTTGTGCTGCTTCCAAGTATGAAGCTCTAGTTGATTTCAAAGGCAGTGGAAGAGAGATAAAGAGGAGTAAAGATTGTTCTACCTCAGCAATTCATGATCCCTCTAAGGCCACTGATTTTGAAAGAAAATGGAGACCTTGGCATCTCAGCAGAATAGATCCAGCTCCTCTTTTCTATCCTACTCCCATGAGGTAGCGCAAGCATTTATCCAGTTTACCATAGCAAATGATTCTCCATGTCCAGAAAATTACAACACTCTTCCTCTCTTCACTCCGAGGAGTCATAAAACCTAAATTAAACATAACTGTCTAAAGAATTATTTTCAGCAACGTTAACATTTCAACAAGGGAAATAAATGAAACAATATGATTGGAATACTTTTATAATATCAAATATAACAATATTTATAACATTGAACTACCGTTAAATTAATTAATCTGACATTATTTATTTTAAAATGACTTTATTTTAAAGGTGTGCTTTTTAAAAAAAATATTTTATGAGGCTAAGGTAAAGCTATATAATATATTACTTAACCATGTGTGCTTCTGATTCTCAAAACTGCTAAAACTTTCTTGGCAACATTTCTCTATGTCACTTTTATATAAATACTTTTTTTTATCTTTGAAGACATTTTTTATTTCCAAGTAAATTTAATATGCATTTATATTTATTTCTGAGTCTCAGGTAATTATTATATTATAGTATTATATTTTGACATCAAAAATATATTTTAAACTAGCCCAGAAAACTGTGTTAAAATTTGTCAAAATGAACAAATACTTAGATATAGTTTTACAAGCCATTTAATTAAAGTTCGTATCACTTCTTTTTATATCAGTGACAAAAAACAAATCACAGTGAATCCCAACATCATGTATATTCAGAAGAACAGGATCCTAACTAGAATAAGATATATTCCATGCTTATTTAGTTATATCAAAATGGATTCTACTGTCATGTATAACTAAAATGAACCAATAAATAAAAACATTTAAAAATATATCAAAAAGAATAAATTAAATTAGGAAACTGAATGTTTATTAAATTAGTAACATTTATTTAAAGCATAACCATTTTTCAGTCACTATACTAAATTATTATATATTTATCATTTTATTAATCTTTTGCAACAACATAAGATCAGCACTACTTTTGTCCTATTTTACAAATACTGAAAGAGAGAATTAAAGATTAGCAAATTACCCAAGATAAAGACTGGGCAAAGCTGCAACAGGGACCCAGATCTATGTAAGTTGAAAAATTTATGTTATTAACTATGTTTTAATGAAGTGTTTTAGACTGAGAGAATTCTAAGATATGATTTCTGGGTAGAGAGTTATGGTGTTCATTAATTTTTATTTAATTAAATTTACAAAGTGTATCCTATGGTGAAACTATTGAGTTTCTTATGTGTATCAGCTTGTGCTAACAAAGGTAACCAAGCCATGATCATACTTCTAGAAGAACAAACCCTCCAGAAGAGAGGCTGGTGATTTTTTTTTTTTTTTTTTTTTTTTCTGTAAAAGGAACAGAGAGCAAGCACTTTAAGCTGTTTGGGCCATCTGATCTATCAAAACTAACTGTCTGGCCAGGCATGGTGGCTCACCCCTGTAATCCCAGTGGCACAGGAGACTGAGGTAGGAGCCTTAGCAAGGCCTAAAAAAAATCAGTGAGAACCTGTGTCAAAATAAAACATTTAATAAAGGGCTGGGGATATGGCTTAGTGGTTAAGTCCACCCCTGGGGTTCAATCCCTGGTACCAAACAAATCAAATCTGATTGGCTGCCTTGTTTTTAGAAAGAAATTTGCTAGATAAGAATATGCAAATAAATGATAGCTACTATGGTCCAATAAATCTTTTTGGACATAGAAATTTGAATTTTATCATTTTCAGGTGACAGTAAATATTATTTTTCTTCTGATTAGTTTTCAACCATTAAAAATGTAAAAATCCTTGGGCCCCAAGCAATACCTCCTGCTATAGAGCTGTAGATATGGACCTCACAAGGCACACATGGTTACTGAACACTTAAATTTAATTAGTACAAATTTAGGTGAATGCTAAGTATAACATGTATTCTACATTGTAAAGATGATGTAAAAATGTTAATGTCATTTATAATATTTGTATTTACTTTGAAATAATAAGCTTTGATACACTGGATTATTTATTTTTTTAAAAATAAAAATAAATTTTATTCAAAATAAGTTCATCTGTCTGTAGTTTCTTTACATTGGTCCTGTAAAATTTACATGCATAGATCCATTTTATATATATATGTATAATATTATTGTGTATTTTTAAAATGTTCCTTTAAGGTGAAACTATTTAGAAGGAAACTGATATATTTACAATAAACATATAATTTATCCAAAATTGAGGTAGAATAAAAAACTGTATCAAACAAAAATTTCATAAACTTGATTAATGTGTGAATGTACAATAAATATTTTCCATACTGAAAAAGAGCTAAAGCATTTAAGGCAAAGAGACGTGACCTATTAGAATATGTCTAGAAAATTTTAAGTTTTTTCATGCTTCGTAGAAAATGATGTTTTTCTCATTTGTGGACATTTCAGCTTAGAACCCAAACAGGATCATAGAATCACAACATTGAAAATTCCTGAATAATTTAGTGACTAGGAACCAAGTGTTTATCAGATGCTTGAGTGCATTGTCTAAAAGACACGCCATATTCAGTGGTAAACAGACAGAAATCATCATGCTAAGTGAAACAAGCCAGACTCAGAAATAGGGAAATAAAAATGAGCGCTGGATCCCATGAAAATTAGAAGGGAGCTCAGTGGAGTAGAGAACAGGCACTGAGGGGAAAGGTAGAAGGGTAGGAAAAGGGAGAAACTGCAGAATGTAATGGACGAAATTATGCTGTGTACATTTATGAATATACCACAGTGAATTCCACTTTCATGTATCTCTATAAAGAACAAATTTAAAAAATAAATAAACAAATAGAAGGAAGACCAATAGAGTAGAGGAAGGGGAACAGAGGAAGGAGAAATGAGGGAAGAAGGAAATACTAAGGATTATAATGGAGCAAATTATCTTCCATTCATGTATAATTATGTCAAAATGAATGCCATTATTATGTGCAACTATAATTCATGGATAAGAACATTAAGAAAATATATGAAAAAAGCATGCTAATGAGTCATGTGTGTTAATAATGAACATTCTCCATCATGGGAAATGGATCACTTTGATATTTAGGAATATATAACTTCGACTATTAGAAAAGTCATTTCTTATACTTAAAATGATGAAACATCCAGTATCTTTTTCTGAGCAATGCTATCACCATATTTGATTTCGGGAAATCTAGATAGCTTAGTAGTGAGATTTTTGTTTGTTTGTTACCAGGGATTGAACTCAGGAGTACTTGACCACTGAGCCACAGCTCCAGCCCTATTTCACATTTTATTTAGAGACAGAGTGTTACTGAGTTGCTCAGCGCCTCCCTCTTGCTGAGGCTGGCTTTGAACTCATGATACTCCTTTGTCAGCCTCCAGAGCTACTGGGATTACAGGTGTGCACCACTGTATAGCTCAGTTGGTAGAGTGCTTGTTGCATGAACAAGGCCCTGAGTTCCATCCCAGTACCACAAAAAAAAAAAAAAAAAAGAAGAAGAAGAAAAAATGGAATATTTTTTAATGACTGCACTATTGTGTGGACAAAATGAATCTTTCTGTTGATTAGGTACTTTTAAGGGCAGAATTCTATATTGTAGGAATGGTTAAGAAGTATAATATCATAGCAGGGTGTGTTAGCACAGGCCTGTAACTCCAGAGGCTCCAGAGGTTGAGGGCGATTACAAGTTCAGCCAGTCTCAGCAATCAGCAATTTAGGATATATATATATATATATATAGAGAGAGAGAGAGAGAGAGAGAGAGAGAGAGAGAGAGTGTGAGAGTGTTTTCATTATGGGAGGCAAGTCAGAGCCTTAATAATTCCAACAGAGTATCTCTGCCTGGCATGCCCTGCAAGCTCTTCAAACCAAATATGTTGCCAACATAAGGATTTTTTCTTGTGTGCCTTAAAAAACAATAATGTTTGTTGGCTAATGAAAAAATCACAACCATTTGACATATCAAGGAAAACCAAAAATACTTATGTCATTTGTGCCATTCTTTTTACCCACCAACTATAAATAGTCATCCTCTTAAATCACTCTCAAATCCCTCCCTTCTACTTTTCCTGCAACACTTTTCTATTTCCTAACTGTTCTCACAGCCCTATTGTCTCCCAAATTAGGTGTGATGATTTGGTCATCCTTATTTTAAATCTCCTAGTTGTTCACTAAATGGTCTTCGGGAGAGGTTTGTCAAAAATGGGCCTCTGTGTAGGGCATTTATGGGCAGGAAGTTGGAGAGAGAAGGACAGATACCTAACTTCTGAGTTTATTGAATCTATGTGGATGATTGTAATGCTTTTTATTTTCTTTTCTAGACATATAAATAAGATTTCCCTTGATGAAATAGTTCTACTACATAGAAACTTGGCCAAGTATTTCAGTTTAGCTTCAAAATACTTACCATCCTTACTTGCTTCCTTTTTTATACCTCTTACAATAAAGTTGTAACAGATGGAAAAATGGAGGATTCTGTAGAGAAAACAAAAATATAATCAATTTTAAATGCATAAATTACTTAGGGGATAATTATGGGTTTTGTAATACAAACTACTGGTCAGATAAGGTAATTAAGGAAGGGTTATAATTGAGAAAGATAGATGTAAAGTCACATATTTGGAGAGAAATTAATAGTGCTGCTAGTCCCATCTCTAATGTTGGGAGCACTGAGAGGTGCTATATTTGTTATCTAATGCCTTGTGTAGTAGTCGGGATTCTCAGAGAAATGTAACCTGTAGACGACACAGGTTGAGGGAGAGAGAGGAGAGAAAGATAAGACGATATCTATAATGGGAATGGGCTCATGAAGCTAGGGAGGCCACAAAGTCCCACAATATTCCATCGGAAAGTTGGAGAGCTAAGAAATCTAGCACTGTAATGCTGATTACAGTGAGTCATGGGGCCTGGGACCCAGGAACTCATATGTCTAAAGGCAGAAGATGGATGATCCAAATAAAGAAGCAGACAAGAAGATTTATACTTCCTAACTTTATTTTTCTACTGAAGCCCTCAATAAACTGAATAATGCCCACTCACAACCATAGGGTTTTAACTTTCTTTACACAGTGTACTAAATCTAATGATAATCTTTCCCAGAAATATGCACACATATATATCTAGGAGAAAAGCTTTTACCAGGTATCTGAGGATCCCTTAGCTCAGTTAAGTTCCAACATAAAATTAACCTTGACATCTCATGAAAGGTTTTTACGGATCTATGGATAGTATCTGATGCATACTCTGTAAAACCAAGAAGGAAAAGTGGATTGGAACCTGGTTCTATGCTTATAGAGTCCTATGGCAGAAGCAGTTGCATTAATGGCCTGTACTCCACACTTTTATCCTACCATGGAAACAGCCTGTGCTATGCAGATGGACTGCAAACTAAACTGGAAATAATGAGACTGCTTAGAGGCAAGAGTATCCCATTGAGTTTCTTAGTGATGGGTGCAGACTTGCCCACAAATGCCTTCATAGAGAAAAGGTCACCTAACCTAACTCTGTCTCAGGGAGTGTAAAGCTACAAAAACTAACAGTACCTATTCCATCCCCAACAACTGCTTCCTCTTCTCACTTCAACTGTGCAACAGGAAACAGGAAGTCAATTGGGAGAGTGTCACTGAACACCCCTTTTTCTGGGAAAGACCTCCATGTGTCAGCTTTATAGGTAAGAGAATTGGCTTTTGTCATTGACTACGAATTAAGCATTGATTAATATTTAGAACTGGACATATTCTACATTCTAAATTGAAGGTCTAACAGGGAATTTAAGATCATTGTAGAAATGTTTTTTACTGAAGAATTGATAGCAAATTCAAAAGAAAATTTTATAGCCCATAAACTGTGTGTTTAATATATTGTTTATACAAAGTTTGTAAAAGTAACACACACACAGTCTCCCTCATACACATTCATTAACATATCACTCATGTCTTAGAAAAGATTGTTATACATTTCTTTTTGAAAAAATTTTTTAATTGTACATGGAAATAACATATTTATTTTCTTTTTTTAATTTATTTTTTACCTATAGGTGGACACAATATCTTTATTTTATTTTTATGTGGTGCTGAGGATCTAACCCAGTGCCTCACGCATGGTAGGCGAGCATCCTACCTGATCCACAGCCACAGCCCATTATCTTTATTTTCTTTATTTATTTTTATCTGGTGCTGAGGATGGAACCCAGCGCCTCACAAATGCTACAATCCCAGCCCCGCTATGCATCTTTCTATCACTACCCTTCAGTAAATACTGTGTACTAACTTGAGATAAGACTCTTTATGTTGTTAAAGTGGTCCAAAGACCATGTGCATCCTTACTTCTTTTAAGAAGGATCTCTAGTTTCCAGAATTCTTATTCCCAGTGTTAGCAGCAGCTTAAAACTTGGGACACTGCTGTACCAAAGTAATCCTACAGTTAAGGTACTGAATGGAGTAGTACATGGTCTCACCCCTCAAGAAGCTCACATCAGATTGGAGATGACTATGAAGTATAAAGCAGAGCTCAGGAAAGAGAAGGATGTACTCTTTTAACTTAGAAAAAAGAAACGCTGAATAGCCAAAAGTTTTATTATTTTTTTTATAAATCTCAAACTGAAGTATTACAGTTATTCTGATTGAAATACTATATTTCCTTCTCTCTTACCTGGATGGTTCAATACATGAAATTATTGAGTTACCACAAAAGATTGAGGTAGCAAGAAACAAACTAGGGGATTTCCAGTATAGCCAACAAATCTCTATTACATTTCAAATATAGCCAACAAATCTCTACTACTTACTCCACTCCTTGAAATATTTCATATTCTTTAGCTCCAAACCTTATGAGAGACTGTTTACAATAACAACCATAATGACTTCCAGGATAATTGTTATTATTAATAACAATAGCACATCATAGTA